TTGTGTTTGTATTTGAATTATCTTGAATATTTGTTATTTTAGTGACATCTTTAATATCAATAGTATTTGAATTTGACTCAATTATTAACTTTTCTTTTAATTCATTTCTTCCTTTTAACGTAACTGAATTAGTTGTTGATGGAATATTATAAACACAATTAGTATTACTATTGCCGTTACCAAGTGAACATGGACATTCTACAGCAGTGAATTGTTCATCAAATGAATTACTTTCTTTTTTATCAATTGAACATACAATTGTAGTATTCATTTCTCCTGATTTCATCACTCTAACAACTTGTCCTTTATCAGTAGAAATTACTGATTTAGTAAGTGAAGTAGTTTGTTCACTAATCGTAATTGAGTTAAGAGAATCACTTGCAATGAAATCACAATAATTTAGTTCTGTATTATCACAACTTCCAGTAATACTCTGAACATTGATTTTGCTATTTTTTAATATAATATAACGAGAAGATGAAACTGAAACTGAAGGAAATGAAACAGTAGAAGAAGTTGCAGTAAACACTTTTTTATTATCAGAAGATGTTTTGAGATTATTGCTGATAAGAGATGAAGCTAATTTCAGTGCATTTTTATCTTCTTCATAAGTAACTGTACCTGTTACTGTCAGTTTCATATTAGTTGGATTTAAATCTCCTATTTTCATTGTTTGTAATGTTAATTCAGGACTTTCTTTTGTTTGACCCATTATTTCAATATTATTACAAGAATCTGTTAATGACTTAAATGACAGAGATTCCTCAAGGGTATATTTTTGTCCTGTTGTTAAAGTTAGTGTATATTCTTTGAGGTCATCAAATTCTTGACAATCAAGTTCATTAAAATTTGACTTTGTTATTGGTTTTGTATTATCTTTTAATGAACAAGCACACGTGTTCACACTTCCAATACGATAGTATGTACCACATTTATATGATGATACTCCATCAATCTTGACATTTTCATCTGATTGTGTTGTATAAACACATGCTGAATTAGAATTACATTTACCAGAAACTTGAGTGACTTTAATAAATGAAACAGTAACAGAATTATCCATCTCTACTGACACACTTTGTTGTTTTGAATCATCTCCTTGTCCACTAGCCTTAATAACATCTTTTTCTTGTTTTGTATCATCTTCTTTAACAGTTACACTAACATCTTTTTGTTGTTTTAATTTTAGTGAATTGATACTTTTTGATAAAGTTATTGTACACTCTTTTGTTGGTTGAACAGAGTTCCAATTCTTATCGATGGTAAGTTTAGAACCAGAAGAACAGTCATCAACAAGACTCATTTTCGAATAATCAGTAATAGAGTCACAATCAATTTCTGAGTACTTACTGTTTGTTCTTGTACAAATACATTTGTCAGATTCTGACTGATCAGTTGTTTTATACACTCTATAATGGTCACATTGTTTCTTGAAGAGGTCTGAAGGAATACTACTTTCATATTTAGCATAATAAAGAACTTTTGTCCCCATATCTTCTGGCACTTCAACTTTTTCAACTTTTAATTCATTTTCAATAAATAATGGACAGTTTTTTGATAATTTAAGAGTCTTAATTGTTCTTGTTCCAGTTAATGTAAGTTTTGTACATGACCCAATAGTAAAACTATCAATATCAGTACTTGTGGTCCCAAGGTTAACACTGAGTGTAACTTCACTAGTTATTTTATTATTATCAAATGAAACTGAAGTACACTCTTCTTTAACTTCATAATTATTAGAATCTATTGAGCACTCTTCAGAGAGGCAAAAATAGATAAAAAGAAAGAGTAGATTAATAATAATCATATGAATAAAAATATCTAAGATTGTTTCTTAGTTCTCAGTAAGATGTTTAAGAATAAACTCATCACAAACCTACTTAAAATATCAAAGTTTCATTATCGGCTTTTATCACTTTTCCTATTTTCATCAATTATTTCCTTTGAGTGTTTGAAAACTAATTCCAATAACCTTTTTGGTCGTTTCATTATTCGTTTCAAAAATCTATTTTTATCCTTTTTATTAAAATCTACATTTAGTGTATCCAATAACTCTTTTCAACTCCCTTTTTTATAAACTCTTCCACTATCCCCTTCTTGTAGAAAATTCTATAAAAATAAAATATCATTAAATGATATAAAAAATTTTGATTAATTCTTCCATCTTTATTTTCCTCCATGAATTCTAATGATCTTACCAAAGGCTATAGTTTTACCAGCATCTCTTAAAGTGAATCTTCCTAATTGTGGGAATAATTCATATGGTTCAATACAAATTGGTTTAGCAGTCTTAATGACAACATTTCCAACACTTCCACTCCTAAGGAATGGAGGATTTTTCTTTGCTAGTTTTCCTGATCGATCTAATTGATCTGTAATTTTAGTTATAACAACTTCTTCTTGAGAAGTATGAATATGGATAACAGCTTCATATCCTGGAGTAAGTAATGGTCGAGGTAACTCTAAAACAACCAATTGGGCTTGGAATAAATTAGTAAAATGACAAACATCTGATGGTGAACATAAGACAAATCCTGTTTGAATTGAATCAGCTTGGTCACCTTTCATTTGAATTCTTACATTATCTCCTGGTCTAGCTCTTGAAGCAAGAACTGAGTTTTCATCATATGTAATTCCAGTAACTTCTAAATCAACTTTATTTGGCATGACAACACATTTTGATCCTTTGTAAATTGTTCCACTTTCTACTTTACCCATAATAACTGAATTACCTTTACCATCTTTAAACTTATCAATAATTGGCATTCTAATAGGACCATTAGGATTACCCATAACTAATTTAATAGAATCAAGAAGTTCAACTAAACATGGTCCATCATACCAACCACAAACTCCTTTTTCTAATCTTTTGGTTAAGTTTAATCCAGAAAATCCAGAAATTGGAATTGAATAAATATCAGAAAATCCACATTGTCTTAAAAATGGTTTAACTTTATTGACAATTTCATCATATCTACTTTGTTCCCAGTTAACAGTTTTTTCATCCATTTTATTAACTGCTATAATAACTGTTTTAACTCCAGCTGTTCTACATAATTGAGAATGTTCTCTTGTTTGACCTCCTTTATCAAATCCAGTTTCAAATTCTCCTTTTCTTGCTGAAACAATTAACACAGCAATATCAGCTTGTGCTGCTGCAGAAATCATATTTGGAACAAATGATCTATGGCCTGGAGCATCTAAGATAGTGTATCTTCTTTTCTCAGTTTCAAACAAAGCACGTCCTACATCAATAGTAATACCTTTAGATTTTTCTTCTTCAATTTGGTCCATAATATAAGCCAACCACCATGATTCTCTTTGATTTTCTTTGGCTTCTTTTTCAAATTTATCAATAATTCGTTGTTCAATATTTCCTGATTGGAACAAAATATTACCAGATGTTGTTGATTTACCAGCATCTACATGTCCAATAAAAATAATATTTGCACTTTCCTTTACTACTTCGTTTTCTTCTGTTTCAATTTTTGCAATTTCTTGTTTAACTTCGTCTTCAGAAATAACTGGTCCATTAGGGGTTGCTGTTTGAGCAGCTGCATTTTGTTGTTCTACTTTTTTCTTTCGTGGAACAAATTTCTTTGCTGAAAGGTTGAGATTGATTCCAGACATGACTGATTTTTAGGGTTCTTTTAAGTTCTAGTTTTTATTTTTTTATCAGTTAAACAAATAATTTATTATTTTTTTATTATTCCTTTTGAGTCATATTGTCATTGACTATGATTTCATTTTTTAAATGATAAAAATGAACAAATATTTTAGAGAAATGAAGTTCAGAGAAGAAAATTATTCTACTCAAGTCTCTTCTCAAAACTTAAACTAAAAGTTATATAAAATTTGTTATAGTTAAAGTGTATCATTAAAAGAATTGTTTGTAGGATAAGAGTATCCATCTCCTTTTGTAGTCCAAACTGGTAAAAAATAGTACAGCCATGAATCACCGAATACTTCTTTAAGATTTTCTTTAAATCCCACATTAAATCTATTGACTTGTTTATTTTTTCTAAATGAAGTCCAACTACTATTATTTTGTTTCAATTCAATACCTGTTTCATTTTGAACAATGTGATATAATTGTTGACATAACATAAGAAAGGTAACAAACATGAAATAAATTGATAAGAACATTTGAATAGCATGAAATGGTAAAAATATCTCTTCAAATTTAAATGATTCTTTTGAAATTATTTTTGCTATAATTGTACAAAGAATAAGGATTGTTAGAACAAAAAGAAATGTACAAAGTATAAATGTATAAAAGAGTGTCAGAAAGAAATATTTATGATTTGCATAACCAATACAACTGCCAACAAATGGACAGTGGTGATCCATTTTTAGAACACATCGACCACATTTTGAACAATGATGACTTCTCTCTGGTTTTGTACAATGACAAATTGTACATTCATTTTCTCCTTCAATGTAATGATTTAGAGGGACATAAAGTTTTTCTTTTACTTGAACACAACGATTATAAGAAATAGTAGCTAATATATATAAAGGAATAAATAAGATTAAAATTAACAAAGAAACATACCAAACATAAAAACCAAGTTCAATGATCTGGAAGATGAATATTATTTCAGAAAGAATCAAAGTAAAATTAATTCCTATATGAGAAATATGATTTTGACATTTAATTCGTTGTGGGTCATAACTGTGTTCTCGTCTATTGTTTTTATGAAAAAAGTTATGTTTTTTTACAATAACTTCTTCAGAAAAACCTTTAGGTTGAATTTGTTCATAAGTTACATTATGTTGATTATCTTCCATTACAACAAATAGAGTTTTAGATTTTACTTTATAAGAAATTGATAAAAGAAAAAAAGAATAAAAAAAAAAAACAAAAATTGAATAAAAATTATTCAAGACTTGAAGAAATGATATGTTTTATAATTCTTTCATTTGACTTAACTGAGTTATTGACAAAAATACCACAATTCATTGCTGTTCTCTCAGCATTTAACAATTTCCTAGTTAAAAATTGTTTAAAATGAATGTCATGATGAAATACTGAATTTTCTAGAAATGGGGGGAATGGAAGAATTTCACTTTTACAAACAACATTGACATGATATATTTCATTAGTTTCATCATTCTTTTCAGGAGTGACAACAATGAAAATATGATTGAAATGTGAAGTGATACAGCGTGGATCAAAAGTATCAGTTGAATCAGCCATTTCTTTAAAAACAATAACAACAATATCATTTCCTATATGTCTTTTTCTTTCTAACTTTTGATTACCTTCATTATCTGGAAGTAATGGAGCAACATGAAAAACAATTTCGTATGAAAATTTTTCATAAAAACTGAAATAAAAATATTCACCTGTTCTACTATTCTTTGAATCTAAACCACCTATAAATCTATTCCAATTTAATTGTTCTTTCTTTGAAGCAATTAAATCCATGAACTTCCAAAATGCTGAAGAACATTCTGTATTGCTATATATTTCATCTTCTGTTTTTTGATTAGGTTTTGCATATAATACTCCAAATTTATAATTTTTGACTATAAGTTGGGCTTCTAATTTCATAAGTTGATCTTGAAGCTTTGTATTATTCTTAGATTTAATTGGTTTTTCATCTGTGTTTAATGTTTTTATCCACCACTTAGAACAATCTTCATTTATTGGTAAGATGAATCTTCTTAATCCACTTGGTCTAAAGGCCATAACAAATTGAATTTTTTGTGTTTTTTGATAACACAAAATAGTGGCACTTTCAGGAAATATATAGAATATTGTTTTAGCTATAAAAATATGAATGACATATTGTTTATTATAAACAAGACAATTAAATTAACAAACGTTGAAGATAAAGGAATTGTTTGAAAAATGTAAAGTCATCATCAATATTAATTATCTCATAAGAAAATAGATCAAAGTTTCTAGAAGTTGACTCAATATCAGTTTCTATTGCAAATTCTTTTTCATTAGCACAATCTAGTAAAACATTGAAACAAGTATATTTACCGGTCCATACTTCAATTGGTAATTGTAAACTTGACCAGCAGTCATATATTTTATTTTGACTATCTCCTAACGAGTCCATAATTACATAATATACTGACTCTTTTGTAATATATTTTTTATTTGGTCTTAACACATTTGGAACTAATGTATTAATAACAGCATCACTTGGATTAGCAAACATTTCTTTAAGTTGTTCCATTGCTGAACGTGTTCTTTCTATGTCAGTTGTTCCAATACCTATTATATCTTTAAGAGCATTAAGCATTGTAAAATCAACAGAATTTGTGGTACTTTTATGTTTAGGTGTGTCTTCAAATACAGCAAATGAACGTCTAGACGATTTAGCAAGAGACGACTTGGGGGTTTTAGGAGTTGTAAGAGTAAGGTGTGTAGGTGAATCATTAGAAATTGTGTTTTCATCATTTATAGAAAAATTTAATGACATTACCATAGCGTGTTTATCTTCAGTCTTTTTTCTAAACAAGCCAAACCTTTTCTTTTGTTGAGAGGCCATTTACTAATAATAAAGATTTCAAAATACTCTTACTCTTCTTTTCTTAAAAAAAACAATATTTTATGAGTTATTACTTTCTGTTATTCTTTATTGTTTTCTTTCAGTTAAAAACAATAAAAACAAATAAATGAATTTATGGTTTTATAAAAAGTGAGTTACTTGAAACAAAAACTTTTTTCCTTCATTAAATAAAATTATTGATTTTTAAAAATTAAAAAGAAAAAGTAATATTTAAGTTATATAAAACAATAATAAATAATCACCCAAAAATGTCAATTAATTTACTTCTTAATTCTGAATTTGCATTGTTGAGTAAGCTTTAATTTTCCACCAGTTGGTTGTCCGAGTGGTTGTCCACATTTTTGACAAAGAATTTGTCTATGGGCATGAGAGAAAGTGGTAGTAGTAGCTCCACATTTTGGGCATTTAATTTCAAGGAAATAACTGTTTGGAGTTGGAACTAATCTCTTCATCTTGTGGGCTTTAGCTTCAGAAGCAGCAGTTGGGTTCAAAAGATCAACTTCGATTAATGGCTAAAATAATAAGTCATGATAAGAATATTTAAAAAGAACAACGTTGTGAACAAACCATCTTTGGAAGCTGTGGGTAATCTAGAACTTAATTTTTCTGAGAGGGTTTACCTAATCCTTTCAGTAAACTATATTTAATCTATTAATATATTATTATCTTTTTTACTTAAGAAAAACTCCTAAAATCTATTAAATTTATGTAAAATGAAATTACTAAAAAAAGGTTAAAAATAAGGACTGAAAATATTAGAATGAAAAAATTAGTAAATGAAAGTATTATTGTTTGTACAAAAGACATAGATACAAATAAGATTACCTTTCCAAAAGAAGGGACATATCTGGTGGGAATGTATTTACTTTCTACTGAATCTTTTTGTTTAACTTTTTATTGGAATGGTTCTAGAAATGAACTAGACTTTATTGAATTTCCTTATTATTCTTTTGGTATAAATATAAATAAAAAGTTGACTTGTTCTTTATATGAATTAGAAACACTACCAACACCCATTACAGAACTAACATTATCTTGTTTATCTGATGACCAATTTGAACGGGTTGTTTGTTTTCCAGGGAAATTCTTTAAGTTTTGTTAATGACTTATTCCAGTAGAAACAATTAACAAATAAATTAAGAAAAGACCTTTTAAGTTGTCCATGTCTATTTCACCAAAACGATATTGTATCAATTTGTGGGGAGTCTTTCCATGTTGATTCAATTGATAATAACCAAATTAATAATTTTGATATATTTTATATTTGTGATAGTCGTACTACATTATCAATTCTGTTTCAACATGAGTTTGAACTTCAAGTAATGATTGATTCTTCTTTAAATAAGAGTGTTGGACTAAGCTCATTATTTTATAAAAATTCAAAGTATGTGCAGTTATGTACAAAACAACCATCAGTTTTTGAAATTGAGCCACTAAATATATCCTCTTCTGTTATTCTCATTTCCCCCTTAACAGCGTCATATTTTAAATTAGCACATCTCTCAAAAGTGTTTATATTATTTCTCAATGTTCCTAATACTGTTTTACCTTGGGTGTATATTTCTTCACAAATATGTGTTGGATCATTTTTTCGCCACCCTGTACCAATTTTTAATTCACTACCCATTTATATTAATTCTATTCCAGTTGTGTTAACATCTTCACAACCTGGTTTTATTTCAAAAACAACTCGTTTTATAACAGGTAATAGTTATTCTTTTAAGTCAACTTTCTCTAGTCTAAGACCATTATTCCCTTCATTAATTAAATTAAATGACTCTATTCAACTTATTTCAAAAAATAGTCTTCAACTATTTAATTATTCTATTGACCATCATTTACCATTATCTCTTTCATTCTCTGGAACTGTTACTTTTTATCTTGACATCTTTTCGATTCTTCTCAGACTATCAATCTTTCCGTTTCATTTTAACTTTTACAATTATTGTGTCATATCATTAGAATCAATAACATCATCATCACTTACTAAACAATTTATTGAAATAAAAAAAGAACCTACTATTGTCATGTTTATTAGAACTAATAAGGCAACAGATTCTGCCCTTAGTACAACTCGAAGATTTACTGAAGACTGTGAAAGGTTTCATCTTCCAATTATATCGTTATTCTATCCTTCTGTAGAATTTGTAGTTAATACTATCAGAGTCAAAGAAAACAAACAAAGTGATACTACTTTTCAACAAAAGAAAATTTTTGGATACATCGAACAACGAAAGAAAATAGAAGAGTTAATTCTTAGTATGAGCCATCCAATTCAACCATTCAAACCATCTGGAATTTTATTATATGGGCCAAGTGGGTGTGGAAAAACAACATTGGTTGAAGATTTTTGTTGTCACCACTCGTGGTTGAACATCAAAATTATTCGTGGATCAGAATTGCTTAGTAAATATGTTGGAGAGTCCGAAAGAAACATTAGGGAGTTGTTTGATGAAACAGTAGATCTTATTATTTTCGATGATTTTGATTCTTTAGGGCATCGAAGAGATGGAGAGAAGACGGACTCTGTTGTAAATACATTGTTAACAATGTTAGATGGAATTGCTGAAAGAAAGATTGCTGTCATTGCTCTTTCTAATCGTCCAGATTTAATAGACCCAGCACTATTGAGAGGAGGAAGGTTAGGTGATTGGATCTATTTAGGATTACCTTCTGATGGTGATAAAGAAGATGTTTTGTCTACTGTATGTTCAATGACATGGAGGGAGTTTTCGTTAAAAACCAAGGATTGGACAATGGGTGATATTGTTTCTTGTTTACAAAAAGTTTCAGAAATTATTTTACAAACTCAAGACACAGAAAAAAAAGTTAGTATTCTCAAAACGGCTGTTGAAACATTTAAAGCCTCTGGGCCGATGATGGATTTTTCTCCATTTAAACAATTTTTAATTAGCACTTCTTCTGTAGGGAGAGATATGGTCTTAATTTAATTATTTATAACAAAAAATTATGAAAAAATACTCAAGATTCTTTTATTGAAAAATCAAGAAAAAAAGTTAAACTAAAAAATTTGAGATGATAATTTTTGTTTTGATAATCCTCTTTTATGTTCCTTTGGGGCAAGGTATTGAGTGTGACAAAGAACTTTCATTCAAGGACAATGAAGAAATTATTTTTATTAACGGTAAAGAAGGATGTCTTATTCAATTTGCATCATGTCCTAATATACAAATACAAGGCACTGTTATGATTAAAAGTTGTATTGATTCAAGGATTCTTGTAAATAGAGGGGTAATACGATTATTTGGAAGTAGTAATTCTTCATTTAATTTAGATTCATCAACGCTTATATTTGAACCGACTGAAAGAAGTGATATTGAATTAACACAACTATCAATGAGAAAAAGTAATTGGAAAGTTGAAGAATCGTTTTTATCAAGGACTATAACAATTAGAACACTAATTGATTATGATAGTGGAGTAACACGTCTAATGAGTGATTATACAATATTTAATATTAACTTCATTTGTCCTCAAGCAATTGGAGAATACACATACCGAACACCATCACTTAATGTCAATGAAAATATAAAAGTATGTCCAGGGTATTATTATAAGATTAAATACAATACAATATATATATCAGATCAACAAAACGATGTAAAAAATTATAACCCAACAATAGAGTGTATTACATATGGAAATTCTTCTAATTGGTGGTTTGGATCAAATAATTCAAAATCATTTACTTTATGTCCATGTCCAATTGATAGTAAATGTATTGTTCGATTAAAGGTACCAAGAGTATATAATATAAATGATCTTAATACATTTAAAACCAAATATTCATTACATCTTGATGGTGTACAAATGGAAAAAATATCAAATATAAAAAAAATAGAAACATTAATTATCGATTCAAATAGTATTTTATTTGGATTATATGATGTTCAATTAGATAAATTAGAAATTAATAATGGATACATTAATGGTGAAATTCTTTTTCTTCGTACTTCAAAAATAGATTCATATGGAGGATATTTTACTCAATCTATTAGTAATAGTCAATTAGGAAATGTTTATATGACATATACTGGTATAATGGGAAATATGAATTTTATTAACGCTACTTCTTTTGTATTAACTCACCAAATTTCAGTATTAACTAATTTTACTAATTTTAATGTTAAAAATGAATTTAAAATAATTTCTCCTCTCTTTGTTAATCAAAAAAAAGCTTTCAATACTATTGATAATATTACTTGTTTAGATTTTAAATTCGATTCAGTTCTTGTACAATCAAATATCAATAGAATTAGTTGTAGTAAATTTTCTATTACTTCCAGTTCTGTGTGGGGTATTAGCAATATAATAACAAATTCTTTTGAATTTAGTAAAAGTAAATTTTTTATTGTAAAGTCAGTAACATCTGAATTATTGAAATTTAATAATTTAGAAAGACTTACAGGATATAGAAATAATTATCTTCAAGATTCTCAAATTAATACTATATCCATTGTTAATTCTACTATTTGGTTTATCTCCTCTGTAAATACAATACAATTTAATGCATTAGATTTACAAATAAGAGAATTTTATATGTTTTATTCTAATAAAGCATATATGAAGAATATTTATTATGAAACTGATTCTATTGGTGTATTCTGGGATTGTTCTATTAACCAATTCATTTTAGAGTCTACGTCTAAATTATTCTTAGGATGGTTTAATTCTAACGAATTAAAATTTGATGGTACAATAGAGGTAGATGTTCCTGATTCAGTTTCTATTAATAAAATAATCTCATTTTCAGAGTTATCAATTATAAATAAAATGGCTATTCCTTATATTATTTCATCTGGACACGTCACCTTTTCTAGAGGTTATAGTGGATATTTAGAAGCAGAACGGGTTGACCTTATTGATGGATTATATAATATTACACTAGCTAAACAAATGAGTTTCACTATTCATGAATTTACAGTTTCTGCATTAATGAATACAATAGATTCACCATTACTTATATTTAATGAGTTGCAATGCAATTCATCTATTCATATAAATCCTTTGGATTTTAGGGCACCACATATTCAAATAAATTCAGCACAAAATTGTAACAATCAATTGTATATAGATTTTTCTGTTCCAACATTATCTTCATTTATTGTATTACCAAGTGAATTAAAATTGACATGTAACTTAATGGGAATATCATCCCAATCATTTGTTGAATATTGGCAAGAAAAAGGTGAAGAAATTGATTTTCAAGAATGGAGTATTAATAATATAAATAGTTGTTTAGTTGATCGTTGTTTAATTTCAGAAAAAAAAGATGATGGATATTATTGTTCAAATAGAAAAAGTAAATGTTATAAGAATTGTAGAGGAATTATTGATGATACTATTTTTATTAGTTCTGTGTCATTAAAAGAATTATGGGTATCAAGTAAAGTAGAAAAGATATTATTAAATGGTAATGACAATAATTTTGGTTTAATATTACTTGGTAATGGAAGTAATGTAATGATTTTTAATAATAAAATGTATAGTAAAAATATTATTGGAAAACAAGCTTCAATCAGAGTGAGTATTAATGGTATTATTGAAAGTGATTTAATTGATGTTAAGTCTATAGAAATGAATACATTTAGTAGTATTAATGGTGATAAAATCAATTGTGAATCAATAAAAATTACAATAGATTGTAGAATTGAAGTACAAGAAATTAAAGTTAAAAGTATTACTTTTGACAATCAATGTGATATAAGTCCAAATGAAGTTATAATTAAGACTAAAAGAATAAACCCATTAAATTCAAATAAGGAGATTTTTATTAGTAATAGTATTTGTCAATCAACAGTAAATACCATTGATTTAATTTTTGTTAAAAATGGATTTGGTAATAATAATATTGTTGGAAATATTTTATTTAGTTGTAATAATCATTTAATTGTATCAAATGGAAATAATGGAGATTCTGAAGTAAAATGTGGGGAATATGGAGTAAGTGATTACTGTTATGTTATTTCAAAAGATATTACTAATCCAAAATCATTTGACTTATCCAAAAGTACAACAACATTTTGTCCTTGTAAAAGTACAGATAAAATGGGATGTTCTTATATTATTGGTACAAATCAAGTTAACGGTAAAATTGATGCTTACGAAGTGATTGTTGAGAAAGAGAGTGTTATCAAGAGTGATAATATGAATATTTCTATTGAACTTAAAATAAAAGCTAATAGTCAAATTTATACTTCTTCTAGTATTATAGAGAGTATTTATATTGAACCATCAACTATATTACAACTTGATGGATTAGTAAATAGTAATTTAATTAATGGATTTGGCGTATTACGTCAAAGAGAAGGTACGTTATATGTTAATGATTTATTTAATGTTCGTTGTGATGTCAAATATATATCGATAGGTAAAACTTTTAATCCAACAGAGTTAATGTTAAATAACTCTTTGATTAATTTAAATAAAAGAGGATTATTTTATATGAATATGACTACTATAAAATATATTAATCAACAAACTATACCAATTATTTTAGATAATCCATCTATAATCAATCTTTATAATTCTGTTATTTCTTCATTTCCATTATATCGATGTTTTGAATTAATTCAAATAATTAAGGAGCCAGTTCTCTATTTTAACAATCAACCCACATCAGCAGAAGCAATTTTTGATTATGAACTAACTTGTTCTAAAAAGATAATTCTTTTATGTAACAGTCCATCAGAACTATATCAATGTCCAACTCAAACATGTATTTATGATATCAATGAATCACCAATAAACTCTTCTAGTGGATATACTCAACCTAATTGTCCATGTGGTTTCTCAGATAATGCATTGAAATATAGTGATAATGGATGTATTATAGATGCAAAAAATCTAAGTAATATAACAACCATATATGGTACTTTCCATAATATTAAAACAGATAATAACGCTATTATTTCTGTTCAATTATTAACTATTATTAATGCATTTGAACCTCAAAATTTTATTAGATTTACTGGAAATGGATTTATAGAACTCTCAGTGTCACCATTAACAAATAAATCATATACAATACAGACTGATGTAAAAATGAATTTAAAACAAATTTATTCTAAATGTAGTATTAGTAGTACTTCAGATCTTATTATTGGAAAACAAGGAATTGGACAATTAAATATTAATGGAAATAAAAATTCGATAACACTATCTCAGAACCAATACAATAATATCAATATTAATATTTCAATGTCTCATATTTACTTACCAGATGGAATAAATGGAAAAACATTTATTTTAGAAACTCATGGATTTAATAATCCATTAATGATTATGACAGATGGAAAAGTGTTTTCTGTAGAAAGTTTTGAATATAAAGGAAATGATAATGGAATATTACTTGAAACTATTCAAAATGGAATTGATATAAAATTATTAAAAAGAGGATATATCGATGAAGATAAAGCAATATTAGCCACTCAAGAAGTAAAAAGAAAACAAATTTATTGTAAATATAATAATAATAAATGGAATAGT